GGACATTTCAGGAATGGAATTCGTTTCCCGGATTAGCACGCTTTGAAAGTTCGGAAAGGCCAATGAAGGAAAATCGTTGACTCAGAGGAAAGGAGGATCATTGTTCGGAAGTTTCTCTGAATTGACGTGAGTCACACCGCCGTCACACACCGGGCCGTCCACTCAACAAGTTGTTTCTTTTTCCTTTCTTTCAGTAGTCTGAGTGAAGCTTTCGGTGAACTTGTCTTCGGCTTTATTCTGTGTCTGCACAACTACAATGGAATCAGCTCTTCCTGATGAACAGTTCCTCGACATGGACGGTCAACATCTGTATAATGCGCATGCCACGTATCGATCGCGCTGGCAGTGGCAGGGTCGATGCTTCTCTATCGCAACCAAATGTGAAGGTCTTCTGAGAAGTGAGATCCGGTCTCCTCGTGCAACTTTTATCTCACAGCTTCACGCGGACATATCTCGCAAGAATTGGCCAATGATTCAACGATTCTCGCAGTGAGATGAGCATGAAACAGGATCCTCTGCCTGCTCTTCGTTCCTATGCAAAACGAAACCAGGATAAACTCTCGCGTGTACCGGTACACTGCGTGGCGCGCAGCCAGTATCCATATGAAAGGTGCATGTTCACCTATATTCCTTTCTCGAGCAGTGCTGATATTTTGCAGGCTGCGATGCGAGTCTTATCTGCCAGTGTGTGATAATCAGATGGATATTTTTGACGAACAAGCGCTCGCTCTCCAACTTGGAGGCATCTCTGGACAGTTCCTCACCATCTCTGCTCGAGTTCGGCAGATTCTATCTTTAACTTGAAGTTCTTGTTGATCCTGTGGCCACGGCCACTGAGAATGCAATGCTGGGAAGCGCTTCGGTGCTGCGCCTTCGTACTTAGTCATTAGAGTGTATTTATACGTGGGAGAGCGCCAAGCGAGTGCAACACTTCCAGATTGATTGATTGAACCAGAACAAACTCCAGACACTCGATGCAAATGTTTTTAACGGTTTCATCCAACGATCTTCTTCCTTGTACAGCTATCGCTTCTCTGATTGACCTTCAGGCCATAAGATTCGTGTTATGCTCCTTGATTCGTGATGTAAGAATGATACCTACGACCTATTTTCTGCTCTTGGTGGCATGAATGCCATGCTCTGATGAACACATACACCGCATTTTACTATGGACGAGAGTATCATCACTGTCGAGTTTTTGGTGACCGACTTGGCCAATTCAAAGTTCCGCCAGACTTGTGATTGGTGTGTATCCTTTCGATGAGATGTCCCATCAAAGCCTGACTCCCATACTGCTTTGCTATATATGCTCGGAGCTTTGTAGCGCTACTTTCATCCCCACCGCCGAGAAAAGACAATGCCAGAGCCCATAACCCCCAAGGTCATCCATCAATCCCTGGGAACAGCTTTGATAGGGAACCTACTTGTAGCTGTGTCAGTCTTTCGGTTCAAACGGCGGCAGGAGACACACTGACTTTTTCCTTCTCGGATCGATTTTCAGACTCTATGGGATCAGTTGCAACCAAATGCATACGTTCCTCAAGACGTCCCGTGACAGCCGCTTGTTCAAACTCCTGGTAAGGCTGCCTTTCTCCTCTAATAGAACACATCCTAATCTGAATGCATGCTAGATCGCATTTTTATGGTGAGTAAGGATGAACTTTGACAGCAACCGGCACTGCTGAAATCCATTCTTAGGGTCTTGAGCACTCTGGACATGATCTTCATTTCCCATGCCGTTTATCACTATACTATTCTGCATCATGAGAATGGTATGTCGGTATTCCGGTCGCTTGTCTGGTGAGTTCTGAGTTCTAGTTTATCATCTGTCAACTTGAACGGCATTCCAGGAGTGTAATGGTAAGAAACCTCTCTTTAATTGTAATAAATACCTTTCCAACTGTCTCCGTTAGGCCCAGACACTTGCTACGGTACGTCCTTGGCCATTCCATATCCTGCCGGATCTTCTCTAAACACTGAACAGATCTACAGTGATGCCATTATACGATGGTAAGCTGCTCTTTTTCTTTGCATCCTTCAGCAAGTTCCTTACATAGCAGCAATATGCAGTATTTATGCGCGGCGCATATGGATATGTAAGGTACACCAACGTTATCAGCTCCTTCATTTTTAATCGTTATTGTAGTATGCGGAAGACATTATCTTATGCCTTGTCTCGTCGTGAGTATCGAACGCCGAATGCTTGTAGTTGTGATTCATCGCACTGCTTTCTACATATTTAAGCTTGCAACGGGAATGATTTCATTCAGTGAGTCCTTAGCTGCCTTGCTATCTCATTCGTTGCTCACCAGATTCTTTGTTAGTCTGCGCCCATAGTGAGTCCGCTCTCCCCGCTAAATACAGCTGCCTCAATGATTATATACATCTAGTATTTATTGCGCAGATGTGAGTCTCTTCGATTCTTCACGGGACGAAGATGATAACGAACTGTGGCGTAGCATCGAGACCGACTCCTTTCCAACGACACCCAGAAGCACAGTGAGGCGTCTATGAGGCATACTATCTAAAGCTGGATTCTGATGCTTTGCGCACCAGGCAATCTTCTATACTGGCCTCAGTGGTGGTGTGCTTTGCAACATCCTCATTGCCTCTGCCCTGTGCCATGCCCTTGTGAAGCTTAAAACCGGATTTACTCAGTGAGTAACCCTCCCTCCTTGGAAGTTGAGCTTTTCTTAACTCAATCTTGTAGAACAAACAATGCGATCACCATGTTCATGATTTACACGATCAATACAGGTCCGTCCAAGTGCTTTTCGTTATGGTAGCATATTCTTAACAACGGACCTCCCAGGTGTACTCACATCGTAAGTTGATTGTCTGTGGGAATCGAAATATTAAGATTAAGGATCTGCAGGATCTTTACGCTCACAACGATCATATCTTTTGCCGTTAAGCCTGCAATTCCGGTATATCTGGCGGTATTCTTCTTGTGCGGCAAAGGTATGTCTCTCAATCTACTATTATCGGCCTGCCAGATGACTTCTCCTATTCATAGTAAACTTTGTCAGCTTGTTGGAAGGGCTCAATAACAGAGCAACCATATGGGAGAAATGTTTTGGGACGACTGCGATAATGATGTCCGCCGGAAAACATTCTTTCAGTACTGGCAGTACCACTCGACAGGACTCAAGCAACTCGGTATGTTAGGTTCTGGTTGAGGAAAATCAAGCTGACGTCTATCCCTCAGATTGTCATGGTGAACATTGATCGAACTATCGACGTGACCACAGACTCGATTTTGACAGGAAAGGATGTGGAGCACTTTTGATGAATCTTATCAAAGTTCGCTAGGTGCATTGATAATCCTTTAGGCCAATAACGATTTGCTTTCTTTGTAAATATACCATGTTCAGTGAGTTGTTCAACTTTGATCCAAGTGAGATAACCGTGAACATCTCGAACAATCGACTTCCTGAAGTGAGGGTTGTAGAAGTCACTTCCCAAGCAGTGAGACGCAGGTAAACCTAGAATAATGCTGTATGAGCAGACGCAACTTGTCATAGTCTGACATTAGGAATTCGAAAAAGGGTTCGAGTCGGCAGGTTTCAAGGAATTTGACGTTTTGCTCCGAACCGTTCATATCGGACGCGGCACATGAACGTTGATAATTATGGCAACGAGAAAACATATGTCCTTTTCCATCACCCATGCATCCTGGACTATTGAGGCGCAAACGTAGAGGACAAGAATACAGATCTGGCCAACTTCTTCCCAACTTGCGACGACCTACCACAGTTCATCGTTCATGGTGTGATCTTCGAAGTTGATTTCACTGGCAGCGTATCTTTGGACCTTATTATTTATATAATGAAACTTCCTGAAGGTCTTGATTCCTGACATGTCCGTTAGGTTCTACGCTGTTCTGCGTCGCACTTCTTTCTCTGTTCTTATCTGGGCACTTGCAAGCCATGACTTTCAGCGCTTTTTGCCCGATACGATCGGAAGCGCCGTGAGGGAGCTTCGGGCAGCGGTAAGTGATCCACAGGCATCCTGAGTAAGATGGGAAATTATACTCTAGGTTTCCCTTGGTTTTTGCTTAGTTTTTGGGTTGCGGGAACCTAAAATGGAAAAATGACTTCTTTTTAGTTAAGGCTGTGTTGGAAATATTTTTGTACATGTGAGAAATGTGAGGGAATCGGGTCCCTGCACCGTACCCTGTTTAGGGTGATGGTCCGAAAGGCAGTATCATCATTAATGCATCATTGAAGCAGTCTTAGATTGATCGATTCTGTCACTACAATTAGTATCCGAGTAGTATCCGAGTCCATGAGCGCTTAACTGTGCTTAATAGCGCAACTAAAGGGGTCGCAGTGGCAGTGACATCAAAATCGATCAACCAGGGGCTGCTTCACACTGCGCCGATGGCACGAGATAACAGAAGTGCAGAATTTGATAGGATTGAGTGAGAGCATCGACCCTCCACTCGCTCTCGACGGGCCAATCATTACAATTGTAGTGGCAGAATCGGTCGGCCGACAAAGGCGCGGGGTACACCACCAGAATTGGCTGATGCTACTGTATTCTGATGCCCAAATTGCTCAAATTGGCCCCTCGGTGAGTGATAGATGTTTTATAGTACACTTTCTATCATTTTCACACCAATGATATGGCAAACCACTCTTATGTAACCTGCCGAGCATAGCATCTAATTTAAGCTCACTGGCAAGTCCCACCGAGATATCCTGGAGATGTCATTGAGGCATCACCCTGAAAATATTTGTGTGACGATTCTTCAGGGATGTTGCCAATTACATTATCATTACATTATCCTTCTCTCACTGTGACAGATAGTCTAACAGGCTGCGATACCGCGACGCTACTGGGCAATGTAAAATTGAGTAGATTATTTGGTGCCACATAGGCTGCCCAGTCCCTGATTCGAACAAGGCTTTCCCTCGGAATCCCAAGAGACGCGATCTAGGCGTTTCACACCTATTAAATCAGCAGTGGGTCGACTAGAACACCAAAAAGAAGGCTGTTGCCCAGTCCTTGATTCGAACAAGGCTCTCAGAAGTTGCTGCATCGATAACTGGAGTTACGGGTAACTACAAATGTCGACGCGCTACGTCGACGCGATACCACTACGCTACTGGGCTGCTACAAGAACTAACTAGTACATTTGTAGTACATGATCATGAGCAAGGGTTGAGATGCCAAGAGACGGCCCGGTCACCGGCGGCAAACAGCGCTTCCTCAAGCTCTTGGCTTCCTGTGATTCAGATTATGACATTGGGCCTTGCCTTTTGGGTGGGATGTCGAAGAACGGCACACGAACCCTTTTAGTTTAGCACCGCTATAGGTCTACTGAGGCGAATATTTACGATTTTCCTTAGCTACAAATGTAGAGAGTTAGACATCACAATCATAGAAGGCCTCGCTACAAATCCTACGCAAGTTAGGTCGTGATGAGAAAATCCCCGGTCCCGCGTGCAGCGTAAGCCCCAGGATAACTTGTTGCAGGCGGTCATAGACAACTCCAAATAATGTTGTCCGCTGAGGCCCTTCATAGCTCCTCACCCTCGCCGACGACCTGTATTCGGAGTAGGCTATGTCGCACATTCAAGTGACATCGGCGTTTTCCCCGAACATGATTGATTATTATCATGCAGATTGTCATATAACGATAAAAGTACAGACCTGTGTGGTAGTGGTGAATTACTCTTCCCGATGTCGTTCAGGTTTCCCCGCCTCCGCCGTCGTTCCAAACCCCCGCCGTTCCCTCCAGAAATCTTCGAGCGGATCCTCGCGCACTGCGGATCACGCGACCAGCGCAAGTGTAGCCTCGCGGCTTCCTTTCTGCAATTCCCAGCGCAGCGAGCACTCTTCCACAAAGTGACCATCCTCCTGTCGCCCACTTCGCGGCTCACCAATTGGACCACCATCGACAACTTTCTCGCCTCCAATCCCCGCCTCGCATCCTATGTTCGGCATCTCTCCCTCGGCATCTCCCCCGCCTCCGAGCCCCCGAAATGCCTCCCGCACCTCTCATTGTCCGGCCTGCGTGCCCTAACGCTCTATGCAGACAGCCTCACACAGAGCGACTGGCGCGCCTTGCCCGCCGTGCTCACAGACGCCTTATACACGCTGATCCAAGCACGCGAATTGCGCACCCTTGAGCTCCGAAACATCGCACATTTCCCACTCGCAGTTGCACTTCCCCTAGATTACCTTATCATTCGCCTAGGCTCAGGGCCCTTCGACACCACCACCTCCGTATCACACAGCCCCAGGCACCACCTCCAGAGCCTCCGTGTGGAATCGCATGCTATCCTCCGCACACTCATCGATGTACCCTTCCTCTCGATATCCCGTCTCATCCGTTTTGAAGCCTTTGCAAATAATGTCGACACACTTATAACCATTCAACACGTCCTCCATATCTGTGCAGAAACGCTGCAGGTCTTCCACCTGGACGTGTACCGTGGTATGTATAACGCCCCCCGTCCGAATCCTATCTGACCACGATTCACAAACACAGACAAGCCCTTCACCCACCCCCTCACCCTCACCCTCCTCAAATCTCTAACAACTCTTCACCTTCCCGTGCACTTCTCATGCCCTGACGCCTTCCCCTGGTGCACGCACACCCTCTCCACCCTCCCTCTCCCGATCTCCTCCCCCACAATCGCACTAACCCTGCAAGCTACCGGGTCCCTACCCGACACCGACGCCGACTGGTCCCAAATCGACCGCCTCCCTGTCCGCACGCTCCACATACACCGCGAAACAAGGCCGCAGTACGACATACACGAGCTGGAGGAGCTCCTCCCGGGGCTTGCGGGGCGCAATGCAATCGTGGGATCACCGCCGCCCCCGCCCCCGATGGAGGTGCAGAAACCGACAACGATGCGCTCCTCGGTCTGGAAGCGGGCAAGGGGGTTGCTGGGTTGAGAGCCTGTCGCATCCATATGACAAGGGTCGAACGTACATGGCAAAATAGTCACAATCGCGCGTGCATGGATTGCATTTTTTGTGCGCGATACGTACTTAAATATCGCGTGTCAGGTCTTTATGAAAACGCGCGAAACGACGAGGCAGCGGGGGATGAAGCGATGTCATTTTGAGGAAGCCGGAGAAAACAGAATTTGGCGATGGACGAAGGGAATATTTGACAAAATTATTCATTCTTCCTCCTACCCCTCACGCGTCGTCTACAGCAATACTATTAGCAGGCTTCTCGGTCCTGCACGAGAATAACTTTACCACCGTTTGCCTCAAGTCTCCAGTTGAGATCTTGAAATAAAGTATTGCGTCTCCCGAACCCGAGTCGTTGGCGTCTGACCCTGGTGGCCATGTATTCTTCTTGCCCATGCTACTCCGGTTTCTCCCCAACGCTCCCATCGATGGTTGTATCCCGCACCCAGTCACGTGTATACAACCTCTGGACAGGGAAGTACAAGAAAGCATTGAGGAACAACAGTGGTGGCGGGGGCACCAACACCCACGTTCCTACGAGCCTCGGCAGCGCCAATTCATCATAGTACTCCGGCTGCATACACCCACGGTAGGGGTACCGTCGCACGACATGTATACACTCTCCCCAATGGGATGCGGTCAATGGCTACCCAGAGTCGGAAATAGGAGTGGATGGGGCAGGGGTCTTGCTCGAGAGACAGGGGTTCAGTCACGATCAGATGTCCTTCCCCACACCCTCGTGGAACGCGTCGCTGCGCAAATCACGACTGCAATTGAAGCATACTCTGAGCTCCTTATTCATCGCCGCGGGGAGGACACGCGTCCAAAGTGACGATGGCATTGCAGTGTACACCCAAGAAAGACATCCGGTCACGCCTCGCCTCAACGGAGTACTGCTCTCGCGATCTCCCACAGCCTGCTCGTCGGCTTGCGCGCCTCCACTGGGGGCGGCCCCACAAGGGCACGTCTCATCGCAAGCCTCGGCAACAACTCCTCCAGCGTCAGTTCGTCATCGTTCTCCGGCTTTTTCACGCGTCCGCGTTGTGGGGCGCGCTCGGGGTCTATGTAGAGCTTGCGGATGGGGAGGGCATCGATTTGAGTATAGAGAGCGATGCAGTCGATTGAGGAGTGCTTGGTGGGAAGGGGGCCAAATGTGTAGAGGGTTAGGGTTAGAATGGAAAGGGACGAGGGAAGGGTGAGGAGGGTATGTGTGCACCATTTGAGGGAGGCGGGGGATGTTAGGGGTAGAGAGAGAGACGTGAGGAATGTGAGGTGGGAGAGGGAGAGTGGGTCGTGGGACTCGAAGTCGCCTGTGAATCTGTGATCAGTAAGGACGCGGAGGACGGGAGATCGGGACGTACTGGAGTCCACGCGTAGGCAGAGAGCTTGAAGCGTGGGTGCACACCCATCGAGAATGTGTTGGATGGTTCCAATGGATTCGGGGTCGCCCAATCCTGCATCGAATCGGACGAGGCGGGATAAATCGAGGAAGGGAAAATCGATAAGTGTTTTCAGGAAATGTGGGAGGGCTACGCGGAGACTCTGGAGCTGGCTGGGTCTCTTGTCGGGTGCCAGATTGGTGGTGTCAAATTCCTCGCATCCAAGGATGGCGAGATCCCTCAGCGGGAGAGCGGCCGCCAGTGGAAAGGACATGACATTGTGCAGCTCAAGCGACTGCATCTCGGACGCTTTCATTAATGTACACAATGCGTACCTGAGCGGTGCGGAGAACGCAAGCCAGCCATGTGGCTCGTACGCATCGAGGGTCAGTACTTTCAAGCCTTTGAGATGTGGGAAGACTTGAGGGGTCGGTGAGGACGACGAGAGAACAAGTGTGAGATGGCGGATATACGATGCGATTCGGGCATTGGATGCGAGGAATATGTCGACGGAGGTGAAGCGGGTGGGAGTGTCGTACAGGAGGAGTGTGATTTTGTGAAAGAGGACTCGTTGGGCGGGGAATCGAAGAGAAGAAGACGAGAGGCTCGATGCGCGCAGGTCTTTTGGCGTACAGTAAGCAAGGATACGTTCGAGGATTTCTGAAGGGAGAGAAGGGACTCTGACCAGCTGGCGACGCTGGTGACGGCGGGTGAATGAAAACAACATTTGATGGTTTGATGTGAACGGCTTGACTCGCGGATGTCACCATCGCTCTACCACACCCGGTTCTTGCATAATCACCTCCCCACACAGCTCCTTGACCCCGCCAAAAACCTTGCCTTTCGTCGACTTGGTGCGCTTTATTGTGGACTCGTTTTCATCATTACGACATTCTGTATCTTCGTGACGCCTCAAGATGATGATTGGTTTACCCTCAATTACTCGAGACTGGCAGACTTACACCGCTGAATTTTATGTTTATTTTTATTTTTTATTTTTATTTTTTTCATTGAATCATTCTACCACACCCAGTTCTTGCACAATCTTCCAGTTGAGATTCTGAAATCAAGTATCACGTCTCCCGTACCCGAGTCGTTGGCGTCTTTGACCTTGGTGGCCATGTATTCTTCTTGGCCTTGCTAGTCCGGTTTCTCCCAACCGCTCCCATTCGAGGTTGAATCCGATACCCAGTCACATATATACAACCTCTGAACATGGAAGCACAAGAAAGCATGGAGGAACAACAGTGGAGGCGGGGGGCACCAACACCCACGTCCCGATGAGCCTCGGCAGCGCCAATTCGACGTGGTACTCCGGCTGCATACACCCACGGTAGGGGTACTGTCGCACGACATGTATATACTTTCCCCAATGGGATGCAGTCAATGGCCACCCAGAGTCGGAGATAGGAGTGGATGAGGCAGGGGTCTTGCTCGAGAGACAGGGGTTCAGTCACGATCACATGTCCTTCCCCACATCCTTATGGAACGCGTCGTTGCGCAAATCACGACTACGATCGAAGCATACCCTGAGTTCCTTACTAATCGTCGCAGAGAGGACATGCGTCCAAAAAGACGCTGTAGTGTGCACCCAAGAAAGCATCCAGTCACGCCTCGCCTCAACTAAGTACTGCTCTCGCGATCTCCCACATCCTGTTCATCGGCTTCCGCACCTCCATTGGGGGATGTCCCACAAGGGCACATCTCATCGTAAGCCTCGGCAACAGCGCCTCCAGCGTCGGCTCATCGTCGTCGGCCAGCTCTTTCACGCATCCACCTTGTAGGTGGTGCTCGCGGTCTA